GATGACGGCACTCACGAGAGCTTCTCGGCGCGCCTACACGAAATGAGGCACAGATTGCGTTGGCTTCTGGGAGCTGTGCTTCTGCGTGCTATTTGCGGACTATTGAAGTGTTGGATGATAGTGAGCCTGAGGTGCAGCTCCTACAGGCGAAAACGAACACTCACCAGTTGCCAGCTGGTGCCCGGAGCTGGTACCGGAAGGCGTAGGGAACGCGCTCCGAGGTCTTTCATTGCCCCGGTGCCGATGGAGCGCGGGCTGTGGACGCCGAAATGAATCATCGCACGGGCATGGTCGAGGAGAGGAGACAAGCGATCGCCACGCGCACGGGCCCTGCTTGACTGGGGCGCCAGGCGGAGAGACGGCCCGGAGAGGCGCCGTCGTCATCGAGTTATTACTCGGGTGGTCTGGAGCGAACGCCCTCATGCCATTACCTCCATCCAGAGAGTTAGATGGCCGTCTCCTGTCGTGGTACGGTGCGTCCTATTGATAGCTACACGCAGCGCCCGCTGTCTTATGGCGAAAAAGGCTTGACCTATCAAAGCGAGGTGAAGGCTGGGAGCACAGTGGTCCAAGTCAAAACCCAGCCAGCAACCGGAGATGAGGCGGGAAACAAAGGACAGATAAGACATGTGGCATGGGAAGCGAACCCGTCTTTAAAATAGCGTACTGAATGCTGATGTCGACGTTGACGGCGCGCGGCGAGCAATTCCGACCATGGATTCGATGATCATGATCCATTCCCGGTCTTAATACATGCGTGGCGCGCTGTACGGGCCTTGACATGGGGGTGAAAGCTACGTCCTTGGCGTACGCATCCGTGGGGTCGGAGAGCTCAAACCGTGCGCGTGATCGATCTGCTTGGTACCGTGGGTTCAGCTAGCGATACTCACCACCCGGCGGACGAAGCTAATCATCTTCTTCATTATCATGAGTGTTGCGAACCTACAGTTACGTGAATTCTAACTTGTCGTCGTTTTTCACGTCGGGCTCGCGATGGCCTAGCCGAATGTCCAGATCATAGCTTTTTTGAGAGGCAACGGGGGGCCTGGATTGAGAAGGAATGAGAGGCAGGTCCATAAATACGCGGTAACCAAAAGTTAGAGAAAGTGGGGATAGACTCGAGTCGACTGCATGTGGATCGGAAGCGAGAGCGGGTGGCGACTCACAAGACTGGTTGTCCTAAAAATATCGACATAGTTAAGGTATCTTTGAAGACTGCGAGCTTGCCTCGCATGATCGTGGCCAAACCATCTCGCACCATAGTGCAGTTCATAGGTTTCCCCCATCCATGATTGAAAAAGACAGCGACTTAGCATGAAAGAAAGCCAGAGCTATGCGATACAAGATCTACTCAACGTACAACAGATCCCCGTCACCCCATTCACCTACACGCTCATCTTCATCGCGATCGTCGGGTGCGGATCGTACCCCTCGACAACGATGTCCTCGCTCTTGAAGTCGTCGATGCTCTCCACCGCGCGCGGCCAGCGCAGCTTCGGGAACGGACGCGGCTCGCGCTCGAGCTGCGTGCGGAGCGCGTCGATGTGGTCGCGGTAGACGTGCGCATCACCGAGCTGAATGACGAGCTCGTGAGGCTCGGTGCCGGTGACGTGCGCGACCATGTGCGTGAGGAGGGCGTAGGACGCGATGTTGAACGGGATCCCGAGCCCGAGGTCGGCCGAGCGCTGGAACATGAGGCACGACAGCCGCGGCTTGGCCGTGGGGTCGTTTGCGGGCGGGAGGTGGACGTAGAACTGGCACATCATGTGGCACGGGGGCAACGCCATCTGCGGGATGTCTGCGCGCGGGGGGCGTCGGTAGGGGCGCGCAGAGAGAGAAGGAGGAGAGGACGCACCTGCGGGGTTCCACGCGCTGAGGATGATGCGGCGGTCGGTGGGGTCGTGCTTGATCTTGCGGATGCACTCCTGCAGCTGGTCGACGCCCTTGCCGGTGTAATCCGCGTCGCAGTCTTCGTAGGGCGCGCCAAAGTGCCGCCACTGGAAGCCGTACACGGGACCGAGGTCGCCCTCGCGTCGGTGTCCCAGCCCACGCTTCTCGAGGAAGTCCTTGGAGCCGTTCCCGTCCCAGATCTTGACGCCCCTCGCGGACAGCTTCTTCGCGTCGGTGCATCCCTGGACAAACCAAAGTAGCTCCTCGACGATGCCTTTCAAGAATGTGCGTTTTGTCGTGAGGAGGGGAAGGGTAGAGTCCGCGAGAGAGAAGCGGAGATTTGGAGGGGCGAAGAGGGAGATGGTGCCGGTGCCAGTACGGTCTGGGCGCGTGTCGCCGGTATTGAGGACATCGCGGATGAGGTTCAAGTACTGGTGCTCGTCGTGGGCGCGTGTGGGGGCGGTGACTGTCATTGTGCGTGAACAGGGAGGAAGAGAGGCGCGTTGTTTGACAATGTTGTAGACTCACGCGCACATCCAAACGCGTCGGTCACAACTCACGTGGCCTGGCTCTACCAACCGCTTACATATTTCCTTCTTTCTCTGCGACGCTTCTCTGCTCTGTTCTCATCCTCTGTCCATCGCACTCTCCGCGTCGTAGCTCGGCGACGCGTTCCAACCCCGACTCCGTGAATGGTTCGTCAACGCTCAAGAGGCGATCGGGGCGCCCGCACACAAGACCCCATCTCAGATCCCCTCCGCGCAGCTCCGCGCCCGCAGGATTAATCGCCGGGATGTTATCGACTGCCGAGTACTCCCACCGCGCGCGGCCAAGCGACCCTGGCGACGTCGACGATCGCTGGCCTAGGTCGCCGGTCATGACCCCGCATCTCCCTCGACCTCGACCACCACCCCCGCTTGCGCCGTGAACGCCATGGCCGTCGACTGGAACGACCCCGCTGTGGTCAAGTACATCTTTTTCCTCTACCAGCAAAATGCGGTATTCCTCCTCGGCTTCCACGGGTACGTCTGTCCTTCTCCTCTCTAGCACTCCGCCCTCAAGCATACCTCCCCGTCCCTCGTTCGCACCCAGTATGCACATCGTGACTCAGTTCCGCATCGAGTGGGAGCTGCTTCTCCGCAAGCGACCCTTCCGCCTGGTCTACGTGCCCTTCCTCCTCGCCCGCTACCTCGTCCTCTCCACCCTGCTCTTCTTGTGAGTCTCAGGGGCTTGCTGATCGACACCCCGAACTCAAACCCGAGCCCCGCCGCCCAGCGTGATCTCCCAGAACACGACCGTTCATGTGGACTGCGACGGTGCGTTCGCGTGCTTCGACCTGGCTTCAGCTGTCGACACACGCTGATCGCTTGTTTCCTGCAGGTGCTTACCGGTTCTTCGCCGTTCGTTCTCCTCCGTTCCCGGTCTGTTTTGTCGTGACTGATGCCCACCGGTCTGGCAGGCAGTCGGTAGCATCTGTGCAATGTTCGCAAGTTGGATCCTCTGCACCCGCCCGTACGTCGCCATTTATCCAGTCCCCATCAAGTTCGTCTGATCTCGCCGTGCAGTCTCGTGATCTTTCACGCGCTCTCGATGCGCCTCCCCATCGTCGTCCTTAGCTTTCTTGGCTTCGTCCAAGCCGTGCTCGTCGTCCTGCGTACGCCACCTCATCCTCTGCGTTCTCTCCTGCACTGACAATCCCCAGAGGGCGTCCTGACTGTGCGCTCGCAGTGGAACGCCTCACGGCAGGCATGCGACATTGTCCAATGGGACAGCAAGATGCTTGCGACCTTCTACTCTTACTGTACGTCATCCTATCCTCTGACTTCCCTGCGCCCCGTCTCACATCTGTCGAAACAGCGTTCGGCTACGACGTCGTCATCGTATCCTCCACTCTCTACGCAGTCCACAAAGTGCAGCATCTCCAAGAGCGCCGCAAGTGGCACGTCGGCGATGCGCTCTGCGTCCAGGGTATCTGGTACATCATCACGACCTGCGCGGTCAACGTTCCCGTCGCGGTTCTCGCCATTCTCGACCTCAACAGTACGTTTCTGTCCTCTGTCCGCCACCGTCTCCTTCCGAGGAAGTCTCACCTCCTTTCACGCCCAGTTGGCATGGACATTTTACTCTCGACCCCTGCGATGGTCATCAGGTCCGTCTCACTCCTCCGCCCTCCCAAACGTCAGCCCTCACACTGACGTCCCCGCGGTGCTCGTCCAGCGTTGTCGCGTCCGCGCACGCCATGCTCTCGCTCGACGAGTACGAACGCGCGAACGGCCCCTCCACTGCTGGCCTGTACATCACCACCCTCACACTCTCGACCATGTAAGTCCCAGGGTCCGGTTCGGTGCCGCGCGCCGCCGGCTGATCACGATCGTGGCTCGCTCTCCAGGCCGATCGACACTGCGATCTCGCTCGGCGAGACGGAGAAGACGGACACGCAGCGCTCCGCCGCGACGACTGCGTCGACCGCGTCCGCAGACCAAGCGCACGCATCTGGACTCCATAGCTCCAATCCCGGCTGACGTTCCACGGCGCGTCGCGGACCTCTCGTCTTTGTACTCGTCGTCGCGGCTACTTGGACCTGCGCCCCATGATCGGCGCTGTAGTATACTGTCTCCCCCGATCGCTCTTCATTCCCTGCCTGTCAGCTGATCGAGCGCTACCATACTCCCGTGTATACCATAGATGCATAAATGGTTTGGTTCGCCTGGTCGGGCGATGTGGACATGCTTTCCTTTGGGTTCCGAGGGGTAAGTGCTACCGGACAACCTCAGAACGTTCGAGCAATTTTACAGGCGTGCTTCGATTAACATCAAGAGTTACAGCTTTAAAAACTAATGTACGACTCAGAAGACACGTCGTCCCATCTTTAAATCATGCACTGGAGCTGGCTTGAGGTCGTGGCGGCGATGACGCCCTCAAGCCCGAGCACGACGGCGCTCCGCGCTGTGCGAAAGGCGGGATGGGGTGAGTGCTTTTACTCACGTTCAGTCGTATTTTGGCAGCTTCGTACAAGGTCAAGTCATAGAACTGATATTCATTCAAAAAACACGGGCGCATAACGGCTGTCTACAGGTGTCGCTCTCCCTCCCTTCCACATTGGTTGCGCCCTAGTGTCTCGTCTTCTGACGCTTGTTCGCAGGCTTGGGCTTCACACGCTCGGGGTCCACGAAAAGGCCTGCATGTTGCATGTGAGTAATGGTCGCTTTCTCGAACCAGTCGTCGGTCTTCTTGTTTGCCAACGCGTCACCGGCCTTCCAGTTCATGGCGTCCCCAAGGTGCACAAATACCTCCTTGAGCTTGTCGTGGGTCTCCAGCGGCCCCGTCTCTGCAGCATCCTTCGGCGCCGCCGTGGGTGGGCCCGAGGGAGACGGCAAGGAGTCGGAGTTGGGCGCGCCGTACATCGCATCGTACTCATCCAAGTCGATCTGTGCATAATGTGTGTAGCCGATTTCAGCAACCTTGTTGAGCATCTTGTTCAGAGTCTCGTTGGCATGGACTCGGACCCATGATTTCCGTCGTTCGAAGTTGCCCAACTTTTCCAACCCGCCCCTGTAGACTTCGTCGTCTGTCATATAATCGAATTGGCCGAAAACCGCTTCCACTTTGTGTCGCAGATAGTCGAATGAGGACACATCGTATGTGAGCTCCGTGTCGTGGAACCGTACAACGATGTAGTAGAGGACGTGTATGAACGACTCGATGTCGTCCGATAGTTTATATGGCCGGCGTCGGGGATACTTCAGAGACAGAGCTGACCGGAAGAACCAGGATGCCTGGAGGTGGAGTGTCAGCATGACAGGTCGCTCTGCGCAGCTTTGTGATGCCTACCGCCATTGCATACAGCCTGGGCCTGGTGGCGTCGTTAATCTGCTCGAGAGTCTTCGCCAGATCCCAATCGGCGAGCATTGCGACCCGCTTGAACGTTTTCTCGTCCTGAGGCACATAGGCGATGACGATGCTGGTCGTGCTGATTTGACGGTGGATCACGCGCGCGTCGCGCCATGCCCGTTCGTGTGCTATGAGACACTAGTGTGAGCCTGACGCGTTCATGAAGGGAGAGCCGTGGCAGCTATTACATGATACGCACCGGTCATGGCGCCGGCCATTAGGCCCGACAGCTCTGGGAAGTCCTTGAAGTGGTATAAGGGCAGGTACATCTCCTTTAGTCGAATGCGGTAGTGGACGTAAGGATGAACCCGCGCATCTGTCGGTCTGGGGGTGCGCTGCGGGACCGGGGTACCGTCTGCGCTGGGACCCATGACGTCTTCACCGCACTCGCATGTCGGGACATTGGGGACGGGCTCGGGCTTGGCCTGGCTAAGCCGATTGTAGAGGTCATGCTCACAATCTACGCCATCCACATCCGGTCGCCAGTAGTCCCTGATGGTTCTTCCCGTGCCGTAGTCGGGGCCGTCCGCCTTGAAGGCGTGGAAGACGCGCGGTGCCGGCCCGTAGAGTGCAGAGGTGTGAATGACCGGACGCCCCACCAGATAATCCTCGCCTCCAGATTTCATGCGATAAAGTGGCCACTGAAATTCGGAGAGCGGCCTCTTGTCCGACCACACCTTTGACGTCGGGTCCAGACACAGAAGCTCGCGCAACATAGATCGCCGATGATCGGTAGTGGGCAGCGTCTTCGCATATGCGATCAGATTCTCCTCGTCGTCAGAGCTGGCCCGGACCACGGACGGATCGAAGCCGAGGGCTTCTCTAGACATCTGCGCCACACGCCAGAAGAAGTGATGTAGCGTCAGGTCGTTCCGTGTACCGTAGCAGAAGGGTTCGGAGACGATAGTCCCCCCTCGACCGACGACGAAGATTCGGGCTTGGTTACGCCAGACGTACACCGCCAGGAGGTGCTTGCGGTGTTGTCGTCCTAGGATTGCGGCACAGTACTCTGTGATTTGGGAAACAGAATCGAGCTCATTCTGGTTGAGTTTCTTATCCTGATCGAGCGTCTCAGCCTGGTCGAGCGTCTCATCCTGGTCGAGCGTCTCATACTGGTCGAGCGTCTCATCCTGGTCGAGTGTCTCATCCACTGGGAGTGGCGGAGGCGTCTTAGAGGCGTCGAAGTTGAATGCCGACTTGTGGGCGGCGGTCTTGACCTCTATAGGTATAACGATATCTGCATAGGAGGTCCTACCCGCGAATTTCTTGAGGGCTTGAGCAGGAGTATGATCGTCTTGGTCCGGCGCCTGTCGCGGACGTCCTTTCTTTGAACTTTGCTTAACCTGCAGTATCTCGCGGGTGCGTTCATCTAAAAAGTAGATTGACATGTCGGGGCACGTGCGCTGGTGCACACCGAGACCCACGCCGTCGCTGAGGCATCTAGCTGATGTATTCAGAGCAACCATCTCGGGGATAGCGATATTGTTGGGGTCGCGATTCCCTGCGGCGGCCTTGAACACGGACTCGGCGATCAGGGCCTACGCAGTGGTCGTGTAAGCATGTAGTTGCTCGTGGTGAAAGTTTTATAGAAGCGTCGGACGTACAATCTCGAGGTAAACTTTCTTCTCCTCTGTCACTGTGGAAAGATCGGTGGGCACATAGTAGAAGGTGTCCAGGACGGCTTTGGGAGGATCATTTCCGGGAAGGAAATCTGTGAACATGTCATGGGTTTTCTTCTCGCCCAGAATGCGGGTGATATTCTGCATCGGCACTTTCAAGTATGTAGAACGCGCGTAATTTGTGATATCTTTGGGGGCAGAGATACTCAATTTGAGCTGATCGTCGACTGAAGGTGCTGATGGTGTCGACTCTAGATCAACAGCGGAACGGCGTCGAGGAGTTTCAGGTAGCTCAGGTGCTGGAGAGGCGGCAGGTGAGTTGGGAGGAGTCTGAGACGATGAATCGATGGACGAAGGTTGAAGATATTCAGACGGAGTGTAGGACATAGCAGAGATGTGGGACTTACTGAGCACTACACTCCGATCTGAGGAGGCTTATATAGAGAGGGATATGCGGGTATGGGCTGTCAGATACAGAAGAGAGCGAAATCGGATTGCCTCGAGGCTGACAGAATTGCACAACACCGCGGTAAGAAGCAATCGCCACTGAACAAACGCGTTTGGTTGTCACGTGTGTTTTACAGACGCCCATTCGCTCGCGCGCCCGTCGACAGTCTGTCCTTTCTTCGGTCAATCTGAGCGAATACTATTGAACGGCAGAACGGCTTCCGCGAAATACGTTGTGTTTTGGCATAAACAAAAGCATTTGAGCGACTGATCAGGACGCATCTCAGGGTCCATCGAAACACAAGCGAAGCCCAACGGTCTGGACAAGCGGAGCCCACTGTTCTGCACACGAATTTGGAACGAAGGCACACTACCTCGCGCCACGCAAGCTTTTATCAATTTGATCAGGAATACAAGATGCTTTTTTGTTGTCAGCCACGCCATGCGGTCTTGTTGTTGCGTGAACCGCGGTGCATTCGTGGGCCTTTCTAGTACCAATGGGTCGGCACACACAGTCCACATTTGGCCCTTCCATACGGTGTGAATTACTGGTGCTATGCGACGCCACAACTGTGCGATAATGGCGCAGTTACCAGACCTAGAAGCTGCTGTGTGCCTTGGTTCCAAATATGTGTGCAGAATGGGCTGGGCTTCGCCGCCGCTTGTGTTTCACTGGATCCGATAGCGGCGGTGACTGGCAGATGCGTCCTGGTTGACTCAAATGCTTTTGTTTATGCCAAACCCATCGCATTCCGTGGTTTCTATTCTGCCGTTCAATACTATTCGCTCGAATTGGCCGGAGAAAGGACAGACTGTCGACGGCGGGCGCGCGAGCGAACAGTGTGTACGCGACAGACGTCTGTACAGCACACGCCGTGACAACCAAACGTGTTTATTCAGTGGCGATTGCTTCTTACATACCGCGGTGTTGTGCAATTCTGTCAGCCTCAAGGAAATAGCGGAGTCTCCACTGTTGCACATTCAGTGTATCGGAGCCGTAGTTGCTGGTCCGCACTCCGCGTGGATGTCAACCCGCAGCCTCAGTGCCGTCACTTCCCGCACTGCGACACTCTCAGACAAGGATGTGGCGAGGAAGGGGCCGCAACTTCTTCTTCGAGGTGGCGATCGTGACCTATGCGGACGACCTGCCGCCTCGGGAATGCTCCGAAGACGAGACCGAAGAAGACGGTCCATGGTGAGGATGTGGAGGAAATCGGTCCCCAAGACGAGCGGGCGGAAGGTGGGGTTATCCATATCGTTGGAACGCATTTGTTGAGCAAGCGTCATGATCGAGCCAGCTCAACACGAACTCGTCTCGGCAATCCGCAGCTGCGTCTCTCGGAGGGATCGTGCCAGTGTGGTAAATGTAAATTGGATCATAGTCTACAGTGCACAGATGGCGAAGGGTAATGCAGATAGTACAACTTGTCGGGGCTCACATGCGCAGCTTCTTCTCCATGTCAGCGTGGATATCCAGAGACTGGCTCATCTCCCCCGCTAAGACGATGTCGATCGGACGAGATGTGGATGATGAATAGCAATAGACTCACCTGGTGTCATGAAGTCGGCACACTCAAGTGTCTCGTCGCGGCCCATGAGGATCTCGAGGTGGAGGTTGGATTGGGGGAATATGGGAATATGTGCATTCTAGGACGGGAGCATTGAGGCGAGCATGCTCAGAGATGGAACAGAAAGAACTAACCTGGCTCACGATCTTGCGCTCCATGAGGAGACGCATGGGCATGTGAAGACCGAAGATCTGGCGCTGCATCTGGAGCTTGAGGTTGTCCTGGGTCGCCTCCCACTGCGACAAGTTGAACGAAGAGTACGTCGGGAGAAGGAAAGGAGAACGCATGTTCTAAGACGGTATTTGACCTTACTTGTAGTGTGAACCTCTGCAGCGATACTCCGGGGACCATACTTGAGAGTGTCGTGAAGACCGAAGCTGTTGGAGGTGTCCTGCACGGAAGCAGCCTTGGGGCCGTTCTCAGGGACTATGCGGAGGTCGTAGTTCTATACCGAGGTGAAATGGTGCCTCTGCGAAGGAGGATGTCAAGTGCTCACCATGGCGGGTGAGGAGGAGGGAGGTGGCGAAATACCCGCGCACGCGACGCGTCGCGCGCACCGGGCCGGCTGACCGGGGGCGAAGTTGCGACGCGAGGACGCGAGGACGCAAGCTCTGTCAGACGTCATCATGCATCGTATCTTCTACACCCTACGCAGTCAATAAAGTGCAGCATCTCCCAGAGCGCTGCAAGTGGCACGTCGGCGATGCGCTCCGCGTCCAGGGTATCTGGTACATCATCACTGATTCACGACGTGCGCGGTCAACGTCAAGTCAACGTTCCCGTCGCGGTTCTTGCCATTCTCGACCTGAACAGTACGTTTCTGTATTCTGTCCGCCACCATCTCCCAGCTGACAGAGCGCTATCATACTTCCGTGTATATCATAGATGCATAAATGGTTTGGTTCGTCTCGTCGGACAATGTGGACATGCTTTCCTTTGAGTTCCGAGGGGTAAGTGCTACCGGACAACATCAGAACTTCGTTCGAGCACTTCTACTGGTGTGAGGCTTCTATTAACATCGACAGTTACAGTTCTAAAACATAATTTACAACACAGAAGATATCTCGTTCCATCGTTACATCATGCACGCTGCCGCGACTCGCACACCGAGGGCCGTTCGAGTGTCCCAATAATCACACAAACAGGTTCCGTTCGGCTTCCGCAGGCTCCTGGACCTCGATGCCAAACGAGTCGACGTATGAACCTGCGGATGCTCTCCTCTACTGCGCCCTCCCAGGTTGTGTTCTCGACCCGGTCGCACGCTCGCCACGCCGGCATCGCGTGCGTCGCCGCCACGGTCTCCGCGAGTGCGTCACCCGCAGGCGGGAGAATGACGGTCGGCGAGTCACCCTCGCCCGCGCTCGCATCTAGCACGCCCGCAAGTGGAGACTCGGGAGGCGGTGTTGGAGGCGCAGGGGCCTGACAGGCTGCACCGGAAGGCGGCGGATGAACAGGCCCGGCTCGCCGTCGGCCTGCAAAGCACCGCGAGATACGAGCCAGTCTTGCCAGGGGGGAGTGCCGTCGGGGGCGTCGGGGGCGGTGGGGCTAAACGGGTTCCAGCCGCGAACGCGCATCTCGTGGATGATGAAGAGCGCGGGGAAGGGGGCGTGGTGGTCCTGGGCGTCGAGGGCGACGGCCTTGTTGTGGAAGGGCCGGAGGTCTGGGAGATCGGCGTAGTTGATGAGGACGTACCGACCGAGCTGAACCGGGATGTTTGGTGCGCATATAGCCAGGGGCGGAAGGGCGGACACACCTTGGGATCGTTCTCGGGGCCGGGGAAGTAACGGATGAAGAAATCATACGCCTCGAATTGCTTGCAGTGGTCTCGGCACATGAGGAGACCATTGCGGGGCTCGTTCGCAACGTGCCGCTTGGCTTGGACGGGAATCCAAAGGTGGTCTCTGAGTTCGCGCCACTGATGCAAGCGTCAGTGACATGGACGATGCTAGAGGTTCTGCGAAACTCACAGTATCCCGCTCGGACCGGGGGACGATGGGAACACGGTGTATTAGCCGGGGTCCCGCGCGTCCGCAGACGACGCAGGCCCTGCGTCCGAAGAATAGGTCTCGTTTGTCGACGCCGGTGTCGAATGCAGTGCGGGCGGAGGTGGTGGAAAACGAACGGGCGGAGGACGTATAGCCAAATGGGAGTGTAGTGAGAGGGAGTGAAAAGGCAGCGAGAGCTGGCATGGTGGCGATCAACTTAAAGCTCATGAATTGAGAGCGATGCGCGTACATATATACACATGCAACGGATGACGTAGGGCGATGCGCCTGGCTCCTTGGCATGCGTCGCGGGAGGCTGGTCACTTACTCACTTCGTTCCGGCGAGAGGAGGTACTCGGAGTGCAAGCCTCGCGCGATGCACTCTAAATTTGCACTGCAAACTACATACGGTCGCGCACAAATTTACTTCCAGCATCCTTCAGCGCGCGCATGCCTCGCACTAGTTCAGTTTCGTCATCACCACGGTAAAACTCGAACGAAAGCCGCGAGGCGGAGATGGCGCGTGACAGAATACTGACTCAGGCGGGTTTACGCAATCCGCGCCGCCTCGAAAAAGTCTTTGGTCTTCTTCTTCGCCAGCGCGTCGCCGACCTTCCAGTTCTTGATGTCCCCATAGCGCACAAAGACCTCCTTGAGATTTTCGTGGGTCTCCAGCGACCCCGTCTCTGCGACATCCTTAAGGTATGTACTGGTCGCCGTCGTGGGTGGGTCCAAAGAAGACTGCGAAGAGGAGGAGGAGGAGGAGGAGTCGGGCGTGCCGGCCCGCCCACCGTATATCGCATCGTAGTTGTCTAAGCTGATCCGTGCATAATGCTTGTAGCCGATTTCAGCAACCTCGTTGAGCATCTTGTCCAGAGTCTTGTTGGCGTGGACTATGACCCATGATGTCCGTCGTCGGAAGTTGCCCAACTTGTCCAACCCGCCGTTGTAGACTTCGTCGTCTGCGATATAACCGAATTGGCCGAAAACCGCTTCGACTTTGTTTCGCAGATAGTCGAATGAGGACGAACCGTATGTGAGATCCGTTTTGTGGAACCGTACAACGATGTAGTAGAGGACGTGTATGAACGACTCGATATCGTCCGATAGTTTATACGGCCGGTGTCGGGGATACTTCAGAGACAGAGCTGACCGGAAGAACCAGGATGGCTGGAGATGGGATGTCATCATGGCAGGTCGTTTCGCACAGCTGTGTGATGCCTACCGCCATCGCATACAGACGGGGTCTGGTGGCGTCGTTGATCTGCTCGGGGGTTTTCCCAAGTTCCCAGTTACCGAGAAGAGCGACTCGGGTAACGACCCCATTTGTGAGCCGAGAGAGGATCAGAATACTCGTTGGGCTGATTTGACGATGGAGTACTTTTACGTCTTCCCAAGCGCGTTGGTGTGCTGCAAAGCGGAACGTGAGACACCTTGAACAGGGAGCGCGTCCACGGCGCAAGCAGCAACGCACCGGTCATGGCGTCTGCCATGAATCCTGACAACTCCGAGAAGTTTTCGAAGTCCAGAAGGGGCTGGACGATCTCTTGCAGCAGAAGCCGATAGTGGATGTAAGGTACGACGTGCTCCTGAGATGATTTGATAGTGCGCTGCGGGATCCCACCTGGAGTGTCCCTGACGTCTTCGCCGCCGACGCACGTCGGGATATGCGGGACGTTCTTGACGTGAAGCCGCTCATAGACGCTGTGCTCGCAGTCGACGCTGTCGACGTCAGGACGCCAGTAGTCTTTGATGGAGCCACTTGCATCAAAATTGTCGATGCGGAAGGCGTGATACACACGAGGAGCAGGCCCGAGGAGCATAGAAGTTTGAATGATCGGACGCCCGACGAGGTACGTCTCGCCGCCCATCGTCATGCGGTGAAGGGGCCATTGCGCATTGACCTCAGACGTCTTGGAATTGCGGGATAGAAGGTGGCGGAGTAGAGCGTGTCGGGGGTCGGCAGTCGGCAGTGCCTTGGCATAGGCGAGTAGCCGCTTCTCGTCTTCACTGGTCGCTGGAACAACGGACGGATCGAAGCCGAGAGTCTCCTTGGACATGTGCGCAACGCGCCAGAAGAAATGGTGAAGCATTGGATTTTGGCGTGTACCCCAGAGAAATGGCGTAGAGATGAGGAACGCTCGGCGATCGACGACGACGAGTCGGGCCTCGTTACAGAGAATGTAGACTGCGAGGAGGAAAGTGCGGTGCTGTCGTCCTAGCATCTCGGCATACGATTGCGTGATTTCGTACAGAGACCCCCGTTCGATCCCACACTGAGCAGGACTGTCGCCAGAGGCAGTGTCACCGGCGTTGATCTTGACTTCCAGCGGGATGACGATGTCGGCGTATGAAGTCCTGCCAGCGTATCCCTTGGGTGCCCGGGCGACTTCAGAGTCTTCGGCGTCGTGGCCGCCACAGTCATCTTCGCCACAGTCCTCCGACTGGCCATCACCTTCACCTCTGGCCTCGCCGCCCACGCCCCTCTCATAATTCATCCCAATGTCTTCTTCCTCTTCCCCGACTTGTTCTTCCCTCACGTCTTTGCCTTCCGCATAGATGGCCAAGAGCTTACGGGTGCGTGGGGTACTGAAGTAGACGGAGAGACTGGGACGGTGGGTGCGGCCGTTACGGTCAGCACGAGACATCGTCGAGGTGTCAAATGCCACCATACGGGGAGATAAGCTCCCGCGAGTCAATGCTTCTGTCTGGAACACGGATCGTGCGATCTTGGCCTACGACGTACGTATGCTTCAGAAGACGAGGGAGAATGCAGACACGGGGAGCACGTACGATCTCGACGTTCACCTCCCATTCCTCGATCACATCATGGAGGGGTGGATAGTAGAAGTTGTTCGTGATGTCGTCGGAGGGATCGTTCCCGGGGACGAACCTCTGCCAGAGCTCCTCGAACGGATGCACCTCCAGGACTTCGCGGATGCTTGACATTTCCCGCGCTACATGCATATTGTGAACTTCCGGATTGGATTGGTGGCCCCAGGCTGGTTTGTATGATATACAAGGTGGTGTTGACATGTCTAGTTGAGCCTTTCACGGGCGCCCTTGGCAGGTCGGCGTTTGATTGGCGTCTATGTACATAACGCGCCACGATCACGTGCAGCGACGCGTTGGGTCTGCAGTGTAACTTTTACAGTGTAAGTACTGCCCTTGGCTCGCCATCCGTTCGCGTCGCCTGCGCTCTAAAAGGGCCTCTGCCCCTTCTATCACGAACTCCAAGATGCCTCCAAAGACTCGCCCAACCCCCTCTCGCTCCACACGGACAACAAAGTCCACCGCCGCCCCCGTCGCACTGTCTCCCGATGACCTCGCCGACAAGCTCGCCACCAAGCTCACGATATCGAATGGAAAGGGGAAGGCCAAAGCTGTCGAGCTTACTCAAGAAGAGCGCAAAGCGGGCGCGATGCGCGCTGTGAATGCGGCCTCCAAGAGCCTCTCCGCCGTCCTCGAGACGGGCTGGAAAGCCGACTCTGAGGCCAAGCCTGCGGCCGATCGCACCACTGCAACTTCTGTCACGAAGCACGCAACGACTGCGCGCAAGGAGCTGGGGACTCTTCGAATGTTGGATCCTAGACAGGTCGATGTCGAGAGGGCAGCGTCGAGCGTGGTGGGAAAGCTCGTTGGTCTCGACATGGTGCGTCCCTCGCTTCTCTCCATCCACGCCCCCTGACACTTGCATAGTATCATGCGGCGCTCGGTCTGTTACAAGACATGTATCCTTTCTGCGCTAACCAAGACGATGCACCGTCGCCTTCAAGCACTTCCCCGTTGACCTTCCTCGCCCTTCCCATCCCCAATGTCCTAATCTCAGACATCCATCTAGCTCTCATCTCTGCCTATCATCTACATGCGCTCGCAGTCCTTTCACACACCACCACCGACCGCGGTGCTCTTGCGTCAGCCCTACTCGACCCAAACAGCCCCACGATTCTGTCCTGGTCTACCACATTCTCTGCACTCCCCGAGAAACAACACGACCATCTCTTTACACGCGCGTACTCCCTAACGTCCCGCCTTGCCTCCTCAACACCCCTGCCAGCAACAGCATACTCCCTCCGTCTGTTTGCGCTCCTCTGTCTCGCGTGTACGCGCCCCTCTGTCATCACCCCATCCACGTTCTGGGAACAAGCCGTCAAGTTCGCCGCCATGTACGCGAACGCCGCCTCGTCCGGGCCCGAAGAGAACGCGGCGCATGTGACGACGTCCTTCGCGCGCCTCGCCGCGAGGGCGCAGGTTCGACCGGACGCGGTGGAGTTCATGGCGGGACCAGCGTTCGCTCGCTTCTGCGAGTACTGGAGTCGCTTCGCGAGGCAGGTGAGTGCGGACCCACCCGCGAGTGTACGCCTGGCTAAGGGACGTGTCCAGGCTGGTGATCTGGCTACGCTTGAAAGCATCGGTCGCTTTGCGCAGCCGGCGGGGGCCGCGTCCGCCTCGGAAGAGGACCGCAAGGTCATCGAAGCTTCGGACCTGGCGACGACCCTGGCTCGCGCACTGGCTGTCTTCGAGCATTGGCAAGGTGGGATGCTTGTTATTGGGCGCTGCGGAGTATCGTTGACCCCCGGTTCCGTAGAGCATGCATCCGATTTCGCCCCAAAGCTTTCTGAAGGGTCTGCGGCAATCAAGCGATGTGGGCTCATACTCGCTCAAAGCGGGAGCGATGCCGAGCGCGTCAAGCGCGGGGTAGAACGCTTGCGCCGCGCTTCAATGAAAGTGCTTGAACCCTCTCGGTCCGACACTACGAACTATCCACCTGAAGTCAAGGCCACTTGCCGCACGATCCTCCAAGGTGCTGTTGACGCTCTTTGTGAAGCAATAACCACGGTAAGCTTTTTGTGGTCTTGCATGGATTTTTTGTTGATAATCGTGCATAGCACAATACTCGAACCACGAATCTTCTTGGACCCGTCCTGGAGGGCCTCTTCACTCTTGCACGAACAGCTTTCGCTCTGAACAACCCTGGCACATACTCAACTGCACGATCGCTTCTTTCACGAGCACGATCTCTGTTACCCTCATCACCATTGTCCGAGGGATCCGTCTCTCCAATATCCGCTGCATATTATACCCGTTGCGTGGCCGCAGTCCACTACTATCTGGCTGGACAGCTTCACCAGAGCGGTCGATATGACCATGCCGCCCCTTTTGTTGAGGAAGCGTGCGCTCTAGGTCAACAGGCGTTGGATGCGTACCACGAGGTCAAGACCTCAAGTACCCCCATGGACGTCGACGGAGAAGCCGCATGCAAAGAAGAGCATTGGGAGCAGCTCGAAGAGCAGCTGTTCCGTCGGTGGGAACTCTTGGGTGTTTGCCATGTCAAGACCGGCGATCGCAGGGTACGTGTACTTTATTTTATGCATATATCTCCGGCTGACACACTATCCAGTCTGCGTACGATGCGTTCGTCAGAGGGATCAAAACCTTCCCATTCGCGAACCACGACCTTGTGGCCCTCGCGCGCAAGACGCCTATCGTCCGGCTCTTTGAGAGTCCTGCGCTCAAGCAGCTCGGCGTGCTCGTCGACCGCGTGACGTACGTCGCGGCGTGCGAGCTCCTCCTCCCGCCGACCGCCGTCTCCTCCCTCTCGTGGTTCTCCGATGATGAAACTAGTACGGAGCGTAAATGCATCTATGGGGCGCTTATCGAGCGGCAGATCGCAAGCTTGGAAGAAAGCAAGTGGAAGCCGGGCGTCAGGGACGTGTTGAGGCAGCTCGTGGACGACGCCTTGCTGGTGTACGATGTGGAGGAGAGGCCGGTGCGGCACGTCCGGCTGATCTTGAAACGGCTCGAGTTGGCATGCCAGCCGGACGCGGGGGTGGAAACGTCGCCCGACGAGCGGAGCACCAAGCTAGCCGAAGATGCTGAGCAGCTGCTCGCGCGTCAGGTCCGTGCTATGGGCTGCCTCCCGTAACTGCTCGTTAATCCCGTGTCCCCCAGTCGTTCGCGCTCGACGCACCCCTGTCCCAGCACTGCCCGGAGTACCTCGCGTCCCTCCACCTTTGGCGCGCCATCTACGCGCACCGCTCGCGCGACCCTGCAGTCGTACCCGCCGTCATCACGCACGCTGAAGAGGCGTGCAAGGTCATCCGCTCAATGGTTCCCGCGCCTCCCGCAGCGGCTGTGCGAGCCTCCCTCGGCGGTGGGCGTGCGGTGAAAGATCTCCAGGCCGCGGCCCCTGCGAAGCGTGCGACGCGAGGTGCCGCGAAGGCCGCGCCACGCCCGAAGATCGCGGTAACGCGGACGAGGGCGCCGCCTGTGACACCCAAGAAGCGGAGGCGTGAGTTCTAGCGTGGTTTCTAGAGAACAGAGAATGTTGCTAATGGTATCGCAGCGCTCGATCCTAACCTACCTGTGGTCGACGTGTCGCCACCAAAGGGCGGTGTGTCAGTGCCGGTACAAGGGAAGATGCATTTCGAGGACTTCGACAGGCTCGTCTCGCTCATACGTGAGTCGTTGCCGATAAGGACCGTTGCTCTTGAAACGAACCAAACGTTTAACAGGGATGGTCTCGCATCTCATCGGGCTCGTGGGCCACGTACTCGTCAGAATTCAACTCCTCAATGCCGCGAGACGATTGGCCGAACGTCACCTCGGCATGGGTTCTGAAGGTGTGTTCTATCAGACGTAGAAGGAGAAGGAGTGCTCATGAGCTTCTGCTAGTCTATGTGTCCTTGACTATCGATACCGCCCACGAGTACGTCAAACTTGGGCGCGCCGAAAAAGCGGTGTCCATCCTCGCCCACGTTCTTCCCGCCGCGCGCGCAGGGACCCTCCCGCAGGATCTTGTCGTTATCTTGCTGTTAAGATACTCCGAGTCTTTGGCTGCCGCCGATGAGGTGCTTAAAGCGTACGTATCACCTTTCACTGTGGTGTTACGTTTGTGGTGTCTGATCACAACGTCTGGCCAGCTCTATGACATATTGTGACGCTGTAGCGGCCGCCTCCGACGTGCTTGTCGAGGAGAAGGGTCTACCTACAGCACAGCGGATCCGTGTGCGGGCAGCTCTTCTTGAGAGAGCTGCTCAAGCCGCGCTGTCGTACGCCGCTGTGCAGGATGCGCGAGTAAGGACGTGCGTCTTTGTTCATAATCTCCGTGCTGATGAGGCACCTTTTAGGATGATCCCACGTCTTCGATCGAAGGCTTGTCGCAAGCCCTCCGCCTCTGGAACCGCGCCATCGAAACCATCTCCCGCCTCCAGCCCTTGGCACCGAAAGAACCCGCCGAAGACAACCCGTTCGAAGTCGCCCCCAAACCCGATGCCGACCCACATGCTCCCCAGACGCACGAAGCCCGCGTGATCACCCCCCGCGCGTCGCACGGCGCCGCCTACCTCGACTCCTCCGGCTGGCGCCTCGCCGAGGGCCTGCTCGCGACGCTCCTCTCGCTCGCGCACGCGTACGCCGCACGCGGCTCCGCGCGCGAAGCCGAGTTCTTCGCCGCGCAGACCCGCACGCTCGCGACGACGCTGCACGCCCCGGTGATGGTCAGCCGCGCGCGCGCGCTCCAGGGCGAGCTCCTCATCCAGCTCGGGCAGCTCCCAGAGGGCCACGTGGCGCTCATGGAGGCCGCCGCGCTCGTCATGCACCTCAAGGGCCCGGACGCGGTCGAAGTCCGGCGGCTGCTGGGGCGGTACAGCCAGCGGAGCGCGGACGCGAAGGGGGCGCAGCAGCTTTTCGAAGAGGCGGCGGTGCTACTGGACGAGCTGAGCGGGATGTTTGCGTCCCTGGACGGGGTGGTGGCGACCGGGTGCGTTTTCACGCGATTGTTTGATCTCCGGCCGTCCTAATTCTTGCTGCAGTGGCCGGAAGTCGTTGGTGGTCGCGTCCCCGAGGAGGAGCTTGAACCCGCAGGAGAGCACGTTGGCGCCGTCGTTGCTCGCACGGGTGCTGCGTCATCAAAGTAAGGAACGTCTTCTGCCGTCCGCGCTTGTGCA